AGGGAAACCGGGAATTGCAGGCGGCACCAAGTGATGTCCTGCCCGGCCTGATGCTCGTCTTCTGCCCAGCGGGAGTCGGGCGGCGCTGGGCTGGGGAGGGGGAGGAGGCTTGGCTTTGCCACCCTGCGTCCAGCTTCCCGAGGCGGTTTCCATGATAAACTGCCCGGAACCATCGCTGGCTTCAAGCAAACCGTTGACTTAAAGTTTCAGTCAGTGAACAGAGCTCGTTTCATGGATCGATCCTGAAATCAGACTTGGTTTGTGAACAGGAGCTAAGCACAAGCTCAGGCTGTGTCCTGGTGATCCCTCCTGGGGTCGGGAGTGAAGGCCCAGCTCCCAGGCAGCGCTTTCGGGCAGAGCTGGGTTTCAGTGGGCTCTGATTTCCCGGCTGCCGTGGGGAAAGGCTCTTGAAAAGCACCCGCACATGCCTTTGGCGAGTCCATCGTGTCTTTCTGAAAGGAAACCAGCGCTGAACGCGAGTGCCCGGGTCGGTGTTCATACATCGAGAATAGCCAAGATTAGTCCCAACTGCTCGGTGCTCGAAGGCACGGAGAGGTTTGAACCGTATTAGCCATTTAGCTACTACAGGTCGGTGGTAATTCCTGCCACTTACTTGCACAGCTCTTGCTTCCAGGACGCAACTTCAAGGGATAAAAGGAAACAGCGAGGTCTGAGATGTTGGTGCTGACAGTGTTACCGAAAACCAGGTATAAAACCAACCCCCTTAATACTGATGCAGGATTAAGCAGCAGGTGTTTTGTATCGCAGCGCCGGGCGCACAGGAGATATCTCCTCCTAGTGTGCGCACCCAGCCCTTCTACCCAGTAGTTCCTATACAATCAAAGTGTACATATTCATGAAGTTTCCCAGAAGTATATCACATATTCATAACACTCCCTGGAACTGATCACCATATGACAATTCCAGTTGCGCATGCGCATTGTGTCTGTAAATTGATTCAAGGGGCTGCTTTTGTGACCACCACAGACCACCCACTCAAAAGAAAGACCCCTCGATGCCCTTGACCTAAGGACTTTGGCTCACAGGACCATTTTCACATGCTTCAAGGCCCCTTCACAATGTGTCCTGGAGGACTGGGGCAAGAAATCGTCCCCAGGGAACAGCTTAACAACAGCACCTGGTCAGGAACCTTAGCTTAAATACTCGTCGTGCGCCCTGTCACACGTGATGTACCCACAGGGGCTGTTCAGCTCCAGCTGAAATCAGTCATGCTCTTCTTTCTTTGGACAACCTGTTCTCCTTTCCCCCTACCCATTATTCCAGCCAGGTTAATGTTAACATAGAAAACAAAAGGGCCAACCTAAAGAACAAAGGGATTTTCCAGAGGATGGAGTTCATAGTGGTATCAGCAGTGTCCTGTGGCGAGATGCTTATGTTAGTAATTCTGGCAAGTAACTCATGTAATTACTAAAGCATTCTTGGGGATTCTTTCCCAAATACTTCACTGGAGGGAGTTATAAAAGAATACAATCTTTTTCGGAATAAATACGTCACACATCCGTCATGTGTTGCTTTTGCACTGTGAACTCGTAACTTTTCCGTATATGAAGGAGTCTTGTTTGCTAGATTGTGAAGTGTTTTGCTCCAGCTAGGTTATTGTTCTGAATTTTGAATGTGCTAATATTCTTGGTATGAGCGTTCATGGGATGAGTGTGTAGCATCTTTGTTAGGCTACTGTGAGTGAAGGAAGTGAGCGTGGAGAAAACAAGTATTACATTACAACAGGAGAAGGTTTTTCCACTTGAAAAGACATCCTAGGTGTGTTTGCAGAAGACATCTGTGTGTTCTCCTCAAGAATGCTGGTGCCCCTCTATCATAGGGTGGGGTTCTTTTCGTTTTGTTCTTTTGGGTTTTTTTCTGTTGAGTGATATCCAAACTAGGCCTCTTGCTTCCAAGTTAGCTGTCAGTGTGCGACCCCGAGAGCTGGCCAGTAGCCCTGTGAGCCATATGGTCTGGCAGAATGCTTCTCTGATGAATTAGGGTCTGCAGTCTGCAATCTCCGCGACCACAAACTAAGATCTGTTTCAAAGCCAAACAAAAAATATATCCCTATGAAAACAAACCCAAGAATTAAGGACATGAAACCTGGGGATTTCTAAGTGACCATATTGTAGCCAAACTCTCTTACCAAGATGCAGCTTCTTACACTTTAGACGTAAGACAAGATAGAAGATAGATATGTTTTTATTGCAGATACTTGCTGAGGAAGCCTTTCCTGTTGTGTGGTCTGGTAAAGGAGCCCTAGCAGAGGGCATCTCATGATCACCATGTGCTGCTGAAGTCCGGTTGCCACAAACTTGGTTGACTCAACTGATGATTTGGAAAAAAAGCAATTTACTCAAAATGAATGAACATTTTAGTGGGTATGATAAATTTTGTAATTTAGACAGAAGTGTTTTTCTGCTGCATGAATAACTGTATCTCTGTTATCTTCAGAATGTCAGTTGGCTGAGCTGAAACGGAGTGGTGGGAGGTTTACACGCTCTCACGTCGCCAGCTTTGTTTCTGTCAGTGCGTTGCTTAACTGGGATGTGACACAGAGGCCTGGTTGTAGAATACTTGACAAGAATAAATAGAAAATGCTCACAGTAATACATCTGGGTTTAATTTTAGCCTTTTTTTAAGGTAGAAGCATTACGAATTATTTTACTTCTTGTTTTACTTAGGGCTTAGAGGTGGATTCATTGGAACAATCGACAATTAGAAGTGAGCAGAAATCCGGGTAACTTGTGTTGCAGAGATTATACAAAACTGTCTCTTCATGAAAATCTGAAAACAAAGTGGAAATATATTACTGGAAATGGGATACGAGAACAAGGTGATGCTTGAAATGGCCCCAGAGACTAGTTTCTCCACTGACTGCTTCATACTCCGTTAAGCTGTTCATGAGAAATAAATAATACCCCTGCTGAGAGGGATGAGTCTGTGCTGAATACAGCAGGAGGGCATGGGGATTCTCCGCAATATATTTGTTGTAGGCATCAGCCAGCAACCTTAGCTACATTTTGGATGAACTGCTTTGCCTGAGGCCGCTTCCAGCTAAACATTCTAGTTTTAGCCAGATAGTTTTTCAGGTGATTGTGAAATAAGACATGTTAAACATCCATATTTCCATATTAACAGGAATTAAAAATCGGTACAGGTAGTTTTGAAAGTCAAGGGAATTCTAAGGTTCTGAATGACTGAAATCCTTGTTTGTGTACAGTGATTTATTTCACTGCATGGCTGAAATGCATTTCCACTTCTTGGCAAAGTAATCATGAAAGCCAGACTCTCTCGGCAGTTCCTTGTGCTGGTGCCGCAGCGAATGTTGCTGCAGAACCCAATACGCCCTTGGGAGTGATCTGTGATTAGTAACGTCTGAGCAGTGGGCTAGAGGGACCCTTGCGCTGAGCAAGCCTGACTGCTCCTCTGTTCATGCGTCCTGCGATGAGAATAAAAGATACCACTTTTACCATGAAGAAGCAGAAGTTGTTTCTGTGGAATATTGTGACTTGCCCCTTTGAAATCATTCTGCTCACTTGCTATCAGACAGGTGTTAAGTCAATCACTGAACAGTCCTTTGACTGCTTTATTCCAATTTTCATTCAAAATGGTGTTTGGCTAGCCCAGTGGACTGAAAATTGGTAATTGCCAGTTGGGATCTCAAAGACATTAGTAAACCAAAGCCATTGCCGTTTTTTGACTTAAATGCACATTCACTTGTCTAAAATGACAAAGTACCTGGTTGGTTTGGGGCAGGCTGTGAACTGCTGCCAATACCTTTCCTCTGCACAGAAACGGGGAACTTGGTGCCGTTTGCTTGGCTGGTATTTTTCGCAAGCATTAACAGTTCTTACGTACTTGTGGAGTTGGTTGAGATCTTCCAGCATGTCCACAACTGCACGGTAAAAAAATGAAGATATTTGTTTTCTGTGTTAAGGAAAATTCTTAAAAAGTCTGATAAGAAAGCAGCCTCGGGACCTCCCTCTTGTGACTGGGACTGGGATAAGTGCTGCCGTAGCGGAATCCCAGCGCTGTGCTCCTGGAGAAGCTGCACTGAGACTGCAGTTGAAGCAGCTGAAGAGCTGGAGGTGCTTCCTCCCAGACATGTCGCTGTGTTTCGGAAGAGGAATCAAAGACAGACACCTGCTTGTGGCTGCACATGAGCTCCTCAGGAACATGTCGTGAGTGAGTGTGTTCATTACTTCTGTTGATTTCTGAAATTACTATATACTTTTGTATACACAAGTTCTTTGCAGCTTTCTAAAACCTGAAATTTGGCTGGGCATTGTACAGCACACTCTGGGCTTTGGAGAGGCTAAAAATCCCTGCGCTTTAGTGTAAGATTCCGTCATAATGCAGACAAACGTCCTGGCTATTAAATATTCCCCACAACGTTCCTTGGAACTGAAAGAGGAATTTATAGCTCTGCTGGCTAAAACTGGAGGTAACCCAAAAACACAGGTAGACTGTGACCCTGCTGAGAGCCTTAGATCACGCAGGCTTACTCACAGCTGCAGCTCGTGCTTCACTGAGGACAGTCCCTGCACGCCCAGTTTTTCAGCCTTCATCTTGGTTGCCAGAGACTTCCCGACGGTGTTAAATCGGGTTGCCAAGTCTTCTGGCTGAAATAATTAGGGTGACATAACACGCTGCTAAGTTGGAGGATGTGTTGAGTGTTTTGCAGCGCGTGGTGAGCTTCTTTACAAGCAAAGTGTAACAATAATCTCTCTTTTGGGAGGAGTCTGCATGTATGGCTAAGCTTTGCAGCAGATTTAAGGATTATTAAATTTTTTTCTCAACCAGGAAGGAAAAAACTGAATCAAACAAACAACACACTCCCCCTCCCCCTTCTAATAGTATATCCCAGACTCTGAATGCAGGGAATGTTAATTTTAGTACACCAACTGATCTTCAAGCACGCTGAGAGGGGAGGTTTCAACGTAGTTCGGGCACTATCTCTATTGGGCTTAGAAGCAGACGTGTGTTCTGCATGCAGTACAGTTTATTGAACAGGGAGTCTGTATGCTTTATAGAACAGTTACACATTCCTGTCAGTCTCAGCGGACACTCGGGGCAAAAGCAGCGTTTGCTTTCAGGACAGTGTGCCTTCATGTTTGCTTGTACGTGACGAGTGAGGATTTAACTGTAGCAAACCAGTTTTGGTTTATTTTACCTGCGTTACAAGCTTCCTTGAGAAACGAGACTGCCCTTGAGCTACGTGAAGTGTGAGCAAGGGCAGCTGAGTGATGTGAAATTGGTTTTGCTGGTTTTGTCCCTTCAGACCTTTATGCTGGGTACAGTATGTAAGCTGTTCTTGTACAGAAACGCGTGGGCTTTAAGCAGACAGATGATGTGGGTTTTCTGTCGGAGGCAGTTACAATGGTCCTTGCAAAGTGTTCATCTGCCTGTTTTCTCAGCATCCTGGGGACACAAAGCCCAACTTCCTCCAGGATTGCTTGATGGAGGTGTTTGATAATTCAGAACAACACATTCAGAATCCTGTGTCCTGCAGTCAGTCCTGAGACTCAGGGGGAGAGGTACAGTGGTTCTGACTACAAACTATGATCATTTACATGGAATATTTGGTCAGCAACAGGGTGAACCTATGGAATCTTAGACCTGAAAGATAAAAGGCATGATGAGAGCAGTAAAACTTTTAGGCTTGTTATAAGAGAAGGCAGCTCGTAAGCTTCACTGAAAGAGGTCTTCCTGTTTAAAGACTGCCAAGGCTAACACCTCCTGACTGGTAAAGCACGTCAGTAGGCTAACAGCAGATGCACAGACGTTTGTTTTCCAAAACAAAAACCGTAACTTGCCTGATTTGCTTTAGGTTCTTCAATGGGCAAGAGGTCATCTAAAATGTGGAGTTCTCCACATCCACGGCTTATATACAGATCCTTGTGGAATGGTGTTAGATCCCTCGGGATATAAAGTTATTACTCAAGATCCTGGAGTCATGGTTTGTGTGATCTTTAAAATTTTTACTATATTTTGCCAAGGTATTTTACTGTACTCACTGCATACAGGTTACCTTAGGCTAGGGTTTTGTCAGATCACACAAATGAAACAATTGGGACCCAGGAAAGGGGCAGTGTTACTCAGCCAGCCAGCTGCGTTGCTAGGGTGATGCATCCTCTTCTGTTAACACTTCTTTGTAAAATCACAATAAAACCCTCAGCTGTTTGTCATATGTTGAGAGATTTTTGTATTTATCTCATGAAAGAACATTGGCCCCAGAATATTAGACACCAGCACAAGGATTCATCAGCTGGGGTTCATTTTTAAGGGGCTTCAGCTGTTACCAGCTTTGGACCCTGTATTTAATGTCGTATCTTTGGTATTTTGGGAAGTCAAACATTTGGGCAAGAATATTAATTTTCTTTATTTACAGATTGACCTAATGGGAGCCTAATATTCTGTCATCATCATTCTTTCAATTTAAAGTTCCCTTACTGGAAATATTTACATGTGTACTTAATTTTGTGTGGTGACTTTGATTTTGAATGTAATATTTTTTGTAGAGACAGTGTTTATGAAATGTCAGTTTGCTTCGATCCCAAAACATGTGGTTAATACAGTTCAGCAGCTATGTCTGCTCTCCTGTTCTTTTGAAGTTTGATGTATTTTAAACGTTCTTACCTTGGCCTTTGAAGTAAACGTAGGTCTTATGTCTTTGTATTTCTTAATAGGATGTTCTTCAAAATTTGTATCAAACCAAGTCTTTTCTGGTTTTGGGCTGTGGAGAGACTCGCTGTGATCAGATATTCCAAGCTCTTTTTCTTTATACTGTAAAGAATAGAGTGCATTTAGAACAGTATATGTTGGTGCTTAAAGAAAATGAAGACCACTTTTTTAAGCACCAGGCAGATATGCTACTGCACGGAATAAAAGTAGTGTCTTAACGGGGACTGCTTCCAACAATTCCCAGAGTGTGTACAAGATCTCACTGCTCAAATCCGCAAGCAGAGCAGCCCAGGTAATGCAACCTTGTACATAACAAAACGTTGGGTGGGTACGTAGTGGGATGCTGTGCCTGAATGCTCAACAGTTGCTCTGAGGTGTTGACCTCGCACATAGGTAACGGCAGGCCTGGGCAGCACCTCTGCTCATGAGTGGCAGGCTGGGCGGGCACACGTGGCACAATTGTAACCACATCTTTTTCTGTAAGGTCTGCGGATTCTTGCCCGTTTCATCTTTAATTCCGAACTTAACCAAATGCTAGCCAAAAGACAAGGCATTTACTTCGTGTACGTTTTTTTTGGTCTGGACTCAGGTATCAGGTATTACGTTACATGGAATGCGACATGTCAGGAAAAGAGGCTAAAAGAATTGAAGGAATTAACTGGTTGGATAAGGTGGGGAAGCACAATATCTGACTAAGCATAGAGCGGGAAATTCAATCAGTACAGCCAATAGTGTTTGGCTTAACGCAGTTAGGGCAAATGGGGAGAAAACCCCAAGTGTGAGGATAATGTTTTGTGACAATGAACAGAAGAGGCTGTGGATTAATGCTCCATTTGTGACAGTGAATGGCATTTTGTAGAGGTTGTGTAATGCTAAAATGGGAAATAACTTGATACCTTTGTTGAAGGTAACAGTCCTGCATTGACAGTGAGCTAAATTTTACTGACTAGGTCCATTCACCTGCTCCCCTCCCCGCCCCCATCCATCCTGTTGTCTCTCAACTCTGAAAATTCTTCAGCTGTAACAATGAAGCCACTTAAAGCAA